TGGATGGATGGATGGATGGATGGATGGACGGAAATTGAAAATAAAATATGGAAAATTAAGTATCATCTACAAAAAAATACAAATTCTCAAAATAGACGTCTTTAGCTGGGATTTAATGTTGTTTTCATTTCATACCACTTGTTTGTCATTCCAAATCATATTCCGTAATATAATTCCTCCCGTGTGGACCCCTATTAGGGAAATATCACCCCTAGAGTTGAATTTCCTGGGTTACAGTGTGTCAGCGGTATTGTTCCAGTAAAATCAAAGATGGCGGCCGTGGAAGGCACTCCTCGAAGAGTCAAGACACTTTTGTTAAGTTTCCTACAATCCTCCGACGTTAAACAAGAAAACAGGTAAACCCAAGCAATGCGCAATGATTTGGGATTAACATCGAGCCCATCCTTGTTCATTCTAAGGTTCTTCATTCACTAAAAAGCGTCTGATTGAAAGTGTGATAAAAAGCCTCGTTGCGAAGTGACGTCAAAATACTGTATTAAAGCTATTATAAAAGCTCGTCTTGTTGCTCGCATAAAAACAAGAAGCTACGCTGGTGGGCATCTGTGTTGAACAAAGTATGAACCATAGTTTCGATGTGACTGTATTCTAAAATTTCCTTCGTATTTTTTTACTTTGTAAAAATCACAGTTTTTTTTTTTGGTCGAATCGCGCCATGTGTGCCTTCGTGATAATAAGCGTCGATATCTAGATCGATCTTTCTATATCTCAAGTGTTTTGTAATGATTTGCGGAGACATATTCACTAAACTCAAAATAAAACATGTAGTTAATATTTTGGCTTTTTTTAGAACAAGGAACAATTGATGGCTGTAAGACGGGAATTCGAAAACTAAGTTACAAAAATCAATCATTTGAGTCTTGTCATCGCTACTAGAATAATTTTTGATAGTTTTGCGTCGTTTCTTATATTTATTATCATTTTCATCCTATTCATTGGTAGCTATCCATACGTCTACAATCTATTTTTTTATTTCTCGTAATATTCTTTGATCGTCATTGTTGCAGCTGTTTTTTTATTTTATTTTTTCCTTAATTTCTTTCGATCTAATTTTTCATGTTAAATTTTAGAAAAAAAACTGTGAAACTTATCTTACTTTAACGCATTTGAAAATATGACTGTGCTTGATATACAAAATATTTTTTTCAAAATTTCCTTATATTAAATATATTGGCTTTTCTTTGATTCTACAAAAACTATGAATCTTATCTTACTTCGTTGCTTTAAATATGAGTGCCTATATGTATGTACAGTAGCTCTCAAATATTCCAAAAAAATAGTTATTCAAAATATCTTTATAATATCTTGACTTTTCTTCGATTTGAGAATCATGTGAATATGTACACATCACATCAAAAACTCCAGTCTAATGGACATTAAGGAAGTCAAGCATCTTTATTGATCTTCACAGTACACGTCATAATTTTTAGGGATTCACTTTGATTGGCACAATGATGGCCGGTTGTCAGAATTCATTTTTAAAAATGTTCTAAAAACCCTCTTTATTTTATATTTGAATTAGTCAAGTGAAAGGGCTTTATCAGTAATGTCTTTGCTCAATCCAGCTGTTGTTTGCTAGAGTTATTTTTAAAAATACTACACCTTCATGACAGCCATCAAAATGACTAGCAATATATTTTATATTGACAAGCAGCATGGCTTTTTGAAAGGTCACTGTTTCCTGAGTAATTTACATTGTCTTTTTTCATTACGTAGAAATTATGGAAATGTTTTTAAAACCTGGAATTCAAAAGATTCAAATCAATTTAATAACTTTCCCTTACAACTATAATTGACAATAACTAACAATACTATTTATTTAGAGCCATCTTTGAAAAGATTATGAATCTAAAAATGATATATGGTAAACAAGAAAATTAGAATAAAGGTTACAGTCTGGCCATCTTAATAAAATTTCAAGTGAATATAAAAATGCCCATTCATCATTTTGATTTAGATATAAAAAATTATCAACATGCTAAATACCAAATTATTTGATCTGTGCGGGAAAAAAATTCCTTGGCTAAGATCAGCCAAGAGATTGTCTCAGGGTTCAATCTGTGAGTTAGCCATGCCTTGATTTAGATTAGCCCAGAGGTTGAAAAGTTGCTTCAGGGTCCGATACATGAGGTACAGTATTCTAATACCTGTCTTAGAGCAGCAGAAGTTGTTTCAGGGTTCAATAAAATGAAGATGTGTGAAAATTTCACTCTATTTTACAACTTTGTAATTTTTATCACTTTGTCTAGTCAAAAAATATTCTCTGTTTGACTAATAACGACTTGTATTTAACCCGACAGCAACCAACAGACAGAGGTTGATTCTTTGCCGTCAACATCCATGTGTCAACCAAGAACCAAGGAAGCATTTTGGTCTCGTGTGGAAACCTTCTCTGTATCCTTATGCATCTTTTAATGAAATGTATCATGGAAACAAAACATCACTGTTTTTCTAACTGTCACAGTAATAAATAAGTATAACCTTTGATCTTTTAATATGTTAAGTGCTCAGTTAATTTTGTTTTTATCTACAAAAGTTGTATGTGTGTTTAATTATGGCACTTGTCTGTAATATATACTTCTCATACTATTGGTATCCTCAATAAAGATTGTTACATGTATAAGGATCAGGCTGCTTAATTAATTGCCTGATAGCGTAACTGCTCTCAAAACATGGCTGTCCATTAATCTCGTAAACAATGTCTGAATTAGAACATTTTTGCAAGGTCAGAGCCAAAAATGTGTACTAGAGATGAGTGGAATTTGTTGAATGAGATATTGTATATATTATATATATATATGAGATAGAAACTGAAAAAAAATCTTCTGCTATAATGATACAGTGTAATGACAAAGTTGATCAGTAAGAAAGTTTATATGCTAAAGTTCCTATTTATCTGGTAATGTTTGTGTGTTACATGGATACATAATTATGTTGATATACAAATACAGACATTGTTTGTCATACATGTGTTTGTTCTGTGTGATATTAATATTGTACCATTAGAAATATTTATAAGTAACCATTTTGATTATGCTTGTATTGTTTACGTACCTAAGTATACAACATGAGTGGCTGATTTGTATGTGCATTTACAAGGACAATTTATTTTAAAGCCGCCCATACAGATCATATGACGTTAATATTGTATTTTGCTTATCAAATGTCTAGAAGTACAAAATCTTAATCTCTACTATAAAAATAATGTTTGAGAGTGGAGTGAGTTTGATTGAGAGAATTCATGTTGAAATTGAATGAAAATGAGGAAGATTCTGTATCAGATATACAGCCAGACTTCTCCTGGATGACTGATCTCCACTGTGTAACTTTTCCTCATTAATAATTTGATTAAGAATATAAGAGTTGCATACATGTACGTTGATGTGATGTGTGCCATGCTGTGTTTTTTTCATGTTTCATTAATATGGTCTATTGTTCACAAAGGTATTTTTTGATTGTAAAAACAGTGTAGAGTAACAATGAACAGACAAGTGAAGGAAAAACAAAAGAAAAAAAAGTATCCAGGTGATTTGGAATCTTGGCCTGCAATGCATTGATAGGCTGAGATTTGCAGCTGTCAGGGTTTTGTACGCAGCAGAAAATCTGGGCCTAATGCATTGTTTGTCACAGCAAAAATATTCCATTATTTTTTATTATCTCTTGTCCAAAATATTTCCCACCAACAACAATGAAATATGCTTTTTGTAAAAGATATTTGGGGTCCTTCTGCATGTACTGTACCAAATACCTATTGAATTCTTTGTTAGCTTCGTTCTATTGTATAACTTGGGGTCTTTTGTCATTTTTATTGAATTACATACTAGTGTTTCCAATGCCTGAAGGAGCCATATTTGATTTAAAAAAACCCATGGGTGAGTTTTATTTCATTTAATTATTGTTTATCAAACCGAAAACCGAAAACCAGGAAATATTTCAAGAGCTGCGAACAAAATGCTTGCTGATTGGCTTATTTGTTTAGGCTGATAGAAGCGAAATCACATGGATATGAATAATTTATATTAGCATACACTGTTTCTTACAAGGTCTTGAATTAATCAATGTGAAATATTCTTGGTCAAGAAACATGATGTATGTCAGCAAAAAAAATATTGATGTTGCAAATTCTGGTATGTGCAGGAATTTTAGTATGCCGATTCTGATTTGGATAAATTTTTTTAAAAAAATCAGGGCATGGGTAACTCAGATCAAATCCTGAAACAACCTTAGGGCTGATCTAAGTCAAGGCRAGCTAACTCATAGCTATTTCATAGTTTATTATTGTAAGTTTATCTCATGCGTGTGTTATTGTATATTAGATAGTTTATCAACAGGTGAAGAGCCACCTCGTGGATTCTATTGATTAAACCATTATTATTATTATTATTATTATTATATTATAACTCACAGATCCAACAGTAAAACAAATTTAGGGCTGATCTAAGTTAAGGGCATGACAACCTCATAGATTGCATTGAAATTTAGCTAACTAGGTTATGTTGATTCAACTTTTTTCTGTTTTGTGCTCATCAATTTATTTTTCTTTCGTGCATTTGTATGATTGTGTGTGTAAAATAAAAAGCTGTCACATTGTTATCCTTAATACTTCACTAGCCTTTTACATGGTTTGCCAAGCCACTTGAGTTATCACCACTGCACTGTGCACTTTATGGTTGGGAGAATTCAGATGTTGATATTCTACATTGTGTCAGTTGTAAAGCATCTTTGGATGCGACAATGTCAACGGATTGGGATCCAGAGATGTGTATGTAGTGAATGGATGAGGTCAAAAACATATGGGTTTTTTTTATGAGACATAATATTGTGTGTGTGTGGGTGGGGGGGGAAGGAAAGAAAAAAATTCAGGTAATGCATTATTAAATGCAAACAGAAATTTGATAGATTTTCAATACTCTTTACTTTATAGTTACCAAGAGCTGTAAACAGTTAAAGGATTCTCTTGTTATTGGTCATTCAAAACTGTGTCCCTGGCCAGATAATCCATGTCCAGGTAATTGTTACAATCAGGATCTTTTAATGTATGCCTAAGGATAGATGATTATCAGTCAAGAAGTCACAGTCAAGATTTATATAAATGTTGTACAAAGGAATTGGGAAGGGAGAGAGGAAGGGATAAAGAGATCAATAATCAAAGAGAGGAATGGAGTTAGGAAGTGGAAGAAGTAGAGAAGAAAGGAGGAAGGAAAGAGGGAGGATCAGGAGGGAGGGAGGGAGGGAGGAATAAAGTGAGGAAGGGGGAAAGACAGGGGAAGGAAAAAGGGAGGAAGAGGAGGGAGGTAGAGAAGGAGGGAGGAAGARACCAATGACCAAAGGGAAGAATAATGATGAAGGGGGAGGGCAGAGAATAGAGGAGGGAGGAATGAGTTAGGATCTGGAGGGAAGGAGATAGGAAGAGAACAATGAGCAAAGGGAGGAATAAAGTAAGGAAAAGGGAGAGACAGAGAAGAGAGGGGGAAGGAAAGAAGGAGGGAAGGAGGGAGGAAGGGACCAATGAGCAAAGGGAGAAGTAGATTAAGGGGGAGAGACAGAGGAGCAAAGGAAGAAAAGAGGGATGGTGAGGAAGAAGGGAAGGAAGGAGAGATCAATGAGAATTATATATGGTTAAGATAATAATAATTTAATACATATTTAGTGCAAATGTATAAAAATAAAACTACTCAAATTGACTATGAAATAAATTAACTTTAATAGATATTTTTATTTTAGTTAAAATATCAATAAAAATAAATAAATAAAAATAAGGGATGAAAGTGATCAATAAGCAAAGACAGGAATATAGTAAGGAAGGGGGAGAAGTGCTTATTGATCTCTTCATCCCTTATTTTTATTCATTTATTTTTATTGATATTTTTCTCTTATTCTCTCTAACTTAAATAAAGGAAGGAGGTTTTAACTTTTGTTATTAAATTAATATTAAATTAATTTTATGTATTGTAGAAATATTCATTCAGCTGCCAGCTTACACTCCAAGTCAATGGAAAGAAGATTTTTTAATCAGATGGCACTCACTGTTGTCTCTTGGAGCAAACCTGCCATCACTAGACCATCATGTTTTCAAGGACATGGTAAGATATCAGAAAAGACTGAACAATAAAGTTGCCAGGCAAGGGCAAATAGGGAAGTAGGTATTTCAAGGCTGCAAAGGTTTGGCTCTAGAGGAGGCATGCAAGGAGTATGCACCTCCACCCCTATGCTGGCAGACCTAGAGGCCCTGGGGGGGGGGGGTGTACTCTTGCCCGTTTAGGGTATGGATGTGCAGCTGAGCCCTCTGAACCCTGACCCTGTTCCAGAATAAAAATCACTGAAATTCATACCCTGTTCCAGAGCAAGATCGCTGAGAACCCTGTTCCAGAGAGGAGAGAGCGTGATTTCATATACCCTGTTGCAGAGCGCGATTTCATATACCCTGTTCCGGAGTAGAATCACTGAAAACCATATCCTGTTTGGTGGCACGTACCCGTGAGCGAATATAGGGGAGTACCCCCCCCCCTGGGCTAGAGGCATGCAGGAAATGTGCACCCCCTAGATGAGCTGACAATCTGTTAATGTAGCATTACAGTAACTTGATGATGTGCCAATCATTGTGATAATTATCACCTCCTAAAAAAATCTTAGGTCAGCCCCTATTGTGCCTTGTGATGTAACATCATAAATGCACACTTGTTGTTTTGATGACGAAGTTTTTCTTATAGTTGTAACAAGTTTTTATAAGTTACCCTGAAGATGACCATGTAGCTTGAAAGCTAGGTGTAATAAAGTAACTATTTAAAGGTTGATAAAATAAATCTAACAAAATGAGGTTAAACCCAACTTACATACATTTATTTGATTTAATGAATGACTCGTTTCAGGATGAGGTATCTGATAATCACTTCAGGGGTTTGTTAGAACTTCTTCAGTCAGCCGGGTTGATGCCCAATGAAAGTACGGATAACTTGCAAAAGGAACTTCAGGTGTCATGCTTGATTGGGTTATGTGGCTGGCAAAAAAGGTGATTAGAGTATAGATAGAGTGAAGTACTAAGATAGAAAAATTGCAATTGTTGTTGTGTTGTGCTGCTGTTGTTGCTGCTACTGATGTTGTTGCTGCTGCTGTTGATGCTGTTGCTGCTGTTGTTGCTGTTGCTGCTGCTGTTGTTGTTGCTGCTACTGTTGATGTGGTTGCATTGCTTGGTTGTTGCTACTGCTGTTGTTGTTGTTGCTGTTGTTGTTGCTGTTGTTGTTGCTGCTGCTGCTGTTCTTGCTCAGCTANGGATGTGCAGCTGAGCCCTCTGAACCCTGACCCTGTTCCAGAATAAAAATCACTGAAATTCATACCCTGTTCCAGAGCAAGATCGCTGAGAACCCTGTTCCAGAGAGGAGAGAGCGTGATTTCATATACCCTGTTGCAGAGCGCGATTTCATATACCCTGTTCCGGAGTAGAATCACTGAAAACCATATCCTGTTTGGTGGCACGTACCCGTGAGCGAATATAGGGGAGTACCCCCCCCCCTGGGCTAGAGGCATGCAGGAAATGTGCACCCCCTAGATGAGCTGACAATCTGTTAATGTAGCATTACAGTAACTTGATGATGTGCCAATCATTGTGATAATTATCACCTCCTAAAAAAATCTTAGGTCAGCCCCTATTGTGCCTTGTGATGTAACATCATAAATGCACACTTGTTGTTTTGATGACGAAGTTTTTCTTATAGTTGTAACAAGTTTTTATAAGTTACCCTGAAGATGACCATGTAGCTTGAAAGCTAGGTGTAATAAAGTAACTATTTAAAGGTTGATAAAATAAATCTAACAAAATGAGGTTAAACCCAACTTACATACATTTATTTGATTTAATGAATGACTCGTTTCAGGATGAGGTATCTGATAATCACTTCAGGGGTTTGTTAGAACTTCTTCAGTCAGCCGGGTTGATGCCCAATGAAAGTACGGATAACTTGCAAAAGGAACTTCAGGTGTCATGCTTGATTGGGTTATGTGGCTGGCAAAAAAGGTGATTAGAGTATAGATAGAGTGAAGTACTAAGATAGAAAAATTGCAATTGTTGTTGTGTTGTGCTGCTGTTGTTGCTGCTACTGATGTTGTTGCTGCTGCTGTTGATGCTGTTGCTGCTGTTGTTGCTGTTGCTGCTGCTGTTGTTGTTGCTGCTACTGTTGATGTGGTTGCATTGCTTGGTTGTTGCTACTGCTGTTGTTGTTGTTGCTGTTGTTGTTGCTGTTGTTGTTGCTGCTGCTGCTGTTCTTGCTCAGCTACTGTTGCTGCTTGTGCTGTTGTTGTTGTCATCATTTTTATTATTGCTGCTGTTATTTTTTAAGCCCAAAGTGCTTTGTCATTTATTGTCTTTTTACTATGATTATCAATCTTATTCACAGAAACAATGAGGTAGAAGCTGATCAAGCAACCCTGTTTTGTACCATGTGTCGCCGTGAACTTGGTGTATGGAATTTTCGATCAATACATTCTTCCGACAAAGAAAACCAAACAACAAACCAAGACACATCTACCATGTCAACACCAACTCGCCAATCACAAGACCAATCTCAATATAGCAGCGAAACTAGTAGTTCATCTAAAAGCAGTGTGGTGGATGATTGTGACTCTATGGATATTGGTGCTCAAGCAGGACCCACGGGCAACATCACAAATGAAGATCAGTACAGAGGATTTGCTGGATGTAAAAGATCAAACACAGGACTCAGACACATGACTAGCCAACGACATGATAATCCAAAGAGTGCAGATATAGAGGAATGCATGGACATTGAAGTCAAATTAAAACTACATGTGCCAGGGCAGGAAGATACCGACCCCAGCTCAGAAAAGAAAAGACAGACATCGCCTTTTGGAAGGACTACAGATCAAATAATGAAGCCCACAGAAACTCCTATAAATGATTGCGAATTCGTTCCCAAGGAAGGAACTTCGACAACATTCAAGGATTCTTTGTTAATGAAGCGGTTCGTAACAGGACGAGACAGTCCCCTGCGTGGGGCAGAAAGTCTACCTTACCGATCACCACTTTATCTTTCTGTCTCTGATTTGTCTGAAAAAGAACACTGTGAATCGCTGTGTGTTGAGGTAGAAGACGAAAGTCTTACTGATAAGCTACAGTCAGTTGAGTCAGAACTGGAGTATATGGTGGGTGGGTCTGAGAGCTCGACAGATAAAGATGATTATGCACCTGATATCAAGAGAATACGGTTAGAGGTAATACACACTGCCCATATACATGTACAGTATATCCATATTTGCCTATTATGGACCATGTAGACCAAGATGCTAGGTGCTATAGCTGCATC